TATAATTCTTTTTAATAAAAAAAAAATAAAAGTTCTTTAAAAAAAAAAACCGATAATTCTCTGTATTAAAATAATTTTAGCAAAATTATTTGTATAATAATGTTGCTAGAATTCCTTAAAAATATTGAAAGCAATTTCCACTCTAAAAAATGTAATGTTTAGTGTTTTATGTAACTATAAAGGACATAATGTACTCAAGTACCCTGTCACTCGTATGACACAAGGTCATCATATTTTGTGTTGTGTGCACTTGCTGTGAGGTTTTCATTCTGTTTCCATAGCAAAGTATATTGCAAAATCAGGGAGGACACAGGAACATTCTCTCGTGTTTTGAAAAAAATTAAAATAGATTTTGAAAAACTGCAGCTTTCCTGCCTATTCATGTTACCAAATTATTGTGCCTTTATCTTAAAGATCATTATAATGTACTCCTCCATCCCCCTTCTACATCGAATATGTCCCCTTCTGTCAGCACCAAATAATATTATAAAATAGACGAATTAAACGAAAACTTGCCTGTTTGAAGTTTAATTTTTATTTTACTAAGTATTCGGAGGCAAGATAAATCATTACGAAGCCATTCTGACCACTTTAAGAAAAACTCAAGTAAACATAAGGCTAATAACGAAAACTAAAAAACTAAGCACTCAGGGAGGGAGAGGTGGGCATGATTTATCTAGCATCTGAATACTTAGTAAAATAAAAATTGAACTTCAAACAGGTAAGTTTTCGTTTAATTAGTCTATTTTACATCTCCAAAAATCATGTTTACTTTTTTGGGTAGCATGTCTTTATAGTAGGTTATTTGCTTTTTAAAAATAAAATGGGGACAAATGTCAACTAATTAACAGGCACAATAATAATAATTTATTTAATTTTCATTATTAAAGCTTTGTAAATCAGCATTTGATGCTTTTTACTGATGTTTTAACTGGATTTTTTATATTTTACAGTATTTTTTAATGTGATTACAGTACTCACGATTTATATATTAGCCACTGGAACTCTCTAAATAAGTATTGTTTTAAGCAGTTTTTGGACAGGGTGTTGTGATGTGCTAACTTTTACAGAGCATAAGATAACCAAAATTAATTACTAGTTTTTGTGATTGTGGTCTAGCACTTAAATTTGTTTTTAAGTGGAATAAAACAGACAGAAATGAATGGTGGCTTAGTCCTTTGTTTTGAAGTGTCCATTATTTACACAATTTATTAACAGAACCTGCAGAACATTACAAACAACTAATTAAAATAATAACAAAAATTTTTGATAGTAATATAGACTAGTATTTTACAGAATGTGAACATGTTTCTCTTTACTGTAAACATCTGGTACTGGTACGGGCATTTATAATGCGCCTCTTCCTTGCGGTTATAAAGCGCAGTTCCTTTCCCTGGTCATTGGGTCCACATGTGTTGCTGCTGGAAATCAGTGCAGGAGCAGGCAACCCCACCAGGTACCCATTTATACATCAAGTACAGTATTACATTATATGACACATTTACATATTTTGCCTACATCCATTAATTAATTAAGCAAAGAATAAATACATGATTTTGGAGGACTTGGTACAATGTTTATTTGAGAACCGCAAATTATTGGTATATATGATGTTGGGAAACCATCCAAACTAAAAATAATCTAGTGTTCATTCATGACCCATGCTTGGCATCAACAAGCACGGGCATGGTGCAGTGTTAATTCAAGAGTTCAGCTTATTTTACCGTTTACAGTAATGTATACTCCCCACAATGCATCCTCATTTACAATTTACATCATCAAAATATATTACAATAGCATTGGCCTACATCTAAGATGTTTTAAAGTACTGTACAATTAATACTCATTTATAAAGACATACTATAATAGTCAATGGCTGTGCATATAACATTTGTTCATCATTTTTCGGGGCAACAGAAAAGAACAAAACCAGAATAAATGGTTAAAATGGAAAAGAAATTGGTGCATATCCACAACATACACACCAAAGCATAGGCCTCCATCTAAATCCTAGACCTTTACATTGCATCCTGCATTCAAAGAGGGCAGATGACTTTAACAGTTGGGTCAACTTATGAAGCGTGTGCCTAACCTATGTCAGACTCCTGACGTATATTTCACTTACTTATCTTTAAAGACATTACCATGCTGCCAATTAACGGACATACAAAGTATGTCATTCCTATAACCTTTGCATGCACTGTTAAAATCTGGTAATCAATTTTTTTATTAAATCAGTGAAAAGGTAATTATTTTGGTATGTCTATCATTAGAAGGTTTTATAACACACCTAAATAGATCCCAGTCATTTGATTGGTTGATTTCATATCATGTGACATTAGTTATTTTGCACATTTCTTCGCTCATCGTTGAAATTTTGTTACACCGTACATTTCTTTTTCTATCCAAATCGTCCATGGCACATTGCCTATGGATACAAAATTACTTCAACCTATTATACAATCTTTTGATTGGTTAAAATGACACGGACTGACTCTTTCCAGAGGGTTAAATCCATTCGTTGAGAGATTGACTGTTCCATTCAGCTTGGCTCCGCCTCGTTGAATGGAACAATCACTCTATCAACTCATGAAAATATTCTTCCCATTGCACTCATAAACATTCATTATTTGTAAAATAATGCATTTTCTCTTTTCAATATTTTCATTAAAAAGTTTATGGTTAATCCATATTTTATGAGGGATGGTATACCTTCAAACACATTGTTAATCAATAAATGAAGCCACGATTGTATAGCTAGCTCTACCCAATAAGGATCAAATAACAAACCTCTACAAATATTAAAATAGATATTATACAGGGCCCTGTGGAAGGACACTTAATTCCTACTGAACAGGCTTTTCTGAATAGAGAATAAATAAATAAAACATTTCCCTGTACACAGCATATCAGAATTAGAGGCAGCACTGGCAGTTAAGTTCGACTTGGTACAGTTGACGAACGTGCAGGATGTCGACTGGCCTGAGCATGCCCAATAGTTTGCTGAGAACAGAGAATAGACAATGTTTATATTATTTCTTCATAGGTAAAAACCGCAAGCCAAATAATACAATTTATTTAGTCATTGAGTCATTTTGCATTTGTTGGGACTCATGATCTGAGTACAGTTATGATTAATATTATCAGATGATTCAGTGCTGCTAATACAATAATTTACATACCTGACTGATAGGTGTATGTCTTTCAACAACAACTGAAGCTTTTGCCGGAGCCAAACCAATACCAGCACGTATACCTGTGTCTTTACCTGTCACCTTGGCGACTACTACTCGAGGTTTTGATCCAGTTTTAGAGGTAAAAGATTTTCCCTTAAAGAAGACATTGAATAAAACTTTACTATTAATAATTTTTTTTTATTATGTTATTTTTATCCAATAAGCAAGTAAATTCTGATGAGATAAAAATAAAATGTGCTTTATGAACCTGCATTTCAATGCAGTACTTCACAATACGTTAAAAAACTGTCCAGAGCAACAGTACTGTGATCATTTCATGGTCATGTCGTGACAAACATTCTAAACCCAACCAACCTATGAAAAAAACGATGTGCAAATAGTGTATTTCAAGAGACACTTGAGATGCAATCTTAAATAGCCATGTCTGTAATTTTACCAAAAAGGTGGCACTCCAACTGATCTTTACTACAAAAGTATATAAAGAAATCAGATTGATTGTTCATACATACATTTGTAATTTAAGAGACTGACAATGCAGGGAAAATAATTATGGTGTAGATTATTAGCAAACAGTTATAATTTCACTTACCACCCTAGTGGTAGAGGATGGATAATGATGAGTTCCTCTGTGAGCGGTGGGGTCAACTTCCTGCCGCCGTGCACGGTGGGATGCTGCTTGCACATGACTGGTCTCCTGTTCCCTGGCTGGTTGCATCATTGATTGCATGGCTTGCATTGGAGCCATTTGTTGTTGTGTATCACCATCTATTGGTAAACAAAACAAAAAACATCATCATCAATACCGTAAAACCTTGAAAGGAAGCCCTCCTCTTCAGTTGGCAAAAGTAATCTCGAAAAGAAGACCATCTAGAAAAGAAGCTCGAGCTTCTAATCAAGATAATACAGGCTTCTTTTGAGATTACATTGATACTGAGGTTATTTTGATTATGATAGCGTGTCAGTTTCAATAGTAGTCTACTGTACTAGCATGGTCAAAATTTAAAAATATTAAACAGAATTTGGAATTCCATAGTTGAAAAATGTTGTATAGTAGCAATTCCAAAATTTACAGCACTCATTTTGAAAAGAAGCCCTCCTCTTTAGTTTGTAAAAGTAATTTTAAAAGGAAGCCAATCTTGAAAACTGAACCATCTCAAAAAGAAGCCCACCCAAGGGTTCTAAAAAAACCAAAAGAAGCCTGAGGCTTCTGTTTGCTATTCAAGGTTTTACAGTATGTCTTCAGGAAGTGGTCTATGCAGTGTTCTGATAACCATTTATGTATGCAGTGACCAGCTTACTACCTTCATCAGATTGATGGAACATTGACATTGCCTCCATGTTGAGGGCGCACACACCACGCATGAACGCCTTCTTCATTGCTTCCTCATAATGCTCTCGCTCAGCATGTAGTTTAGCGACCTCTTGTCTGGATGACTCCAAGGCTTCATTAACCTGACAGAAAACGTTTAAGAAAATAATTTCAAAATTATCTTACTAGAAACAAAGTAAGATAATTTGTACAGTGGCATTTCAGGAAATGGTATCTAAGTGGTATTATATTGCATAAAATTAGTATCTGTTATTAGTAAGTGCTAGTAGTAGTAGCAGCAGTAGCAGTAATAGAGGTAGATGTTTCTTTGGTGTTCCAGTTTTTTTATATGGACAGTTCTATCTTGTGTTTTTTTATAGTATCTTTGATAATACTTTAATAGACTTTTAAACTTGGAAGTAAATAAGATAATAAGACACTGCATGGTCTCTTGTTGAATGTACTGTAAAAACACATCCGTAATTGTGGATGGTAGGCCATCTAAACATGACTATTATTAGTACTGGCAGCAGCAGTAGTTGTAGAGTAGTAACAGAATTAAAAAAGAGACTAATACCGATGCAATCCTAGCCTCATAATCGTTGGTTAATGTCATGCAGACTTCTTGAGCCTTGGATTGACAAGCCTTCTCAACACGTTGCTTCCACTTGGCTTCAATGATTCCTCGCCATCCAGCAAAAACCTTCTGCATTAACTGTCGTTGATGGTGCTTGCGTGCCAAAGATCCTGTAAAAACCTGAAACATAGACTTCTTTCTTTAACAAGTTACGATGTAGTGAATAAATTTAAAATACCATATTTCTTTGAACATATTATGATAGATTGCATTCAAATTACCATATTTTCGAGCATAAAAGCTGACCGGATTCTAATTTGTAGCACATTTTAACAAGGTAGAATATAAAGGTGTTTTGTTCATGATGTAAAAATAGTAATGATAATATAATGACTACGACAACAGTAAAAATAGTAGTGTACCTCACGTCTGTCTTCGCTATGCCTTAGCTTCCACCAGTTGAACTTCTTCAGCATCTCAAAGCGTTGTTTCTGTTTTTGCATAGCATTCGTTAGGTTTGTTATGACGCCATCTTTACGTTCTGTTGATTGTTGGTAAGTGTGTAATAGTTCCTGTAGTCTGGCTATCTCATCCTGTAGCTGGTTTACCTCCTGTGAATGTCTAAAGTCATGTTCACATTTGGATTAATTTTGACAAAGTTGAAGGCTAACTTTACTCTAAATTGTACCACTGTTCGTACATGGACTTAGAGTAAATACACAGGCTTTACTGACACAGTGGCTAAATACTATTTTGGGCATGAAAATTGCTGTACGAATGGATGAACATAATGGACATTCAGATGCTAGTCCACCGGAAATACGGATTTGACTGGACAAAATTGCAACAAAACGTTTTATGATCTAAATATAAACTTAATTATATGTAAAACAACATACTAAAAGTTTACCAAAACAGGACGTACATAAAGGCGTTTTTTATAACCAAAGGTTCAGCACTATTTGAAAGTAGACTTTTACACGGTACGTACCGCGGTTTTCAAACTTTTCTTGATTATGATTGGTCAACATTTAGGTCAACGTAGGTCATATATGTTTGTTGCCGGAAGAGTGAGACCCGCGTGCGAGCTTCGCGATCGCGAGGTTTGGTGTGCGAATCACAGATATATTTCTTCCGGTTTACAGGAATTACAGAGTTATAAATATCGGAAATTAATTGGAATCGTACCAGAGTTAGTTCATGTATGACCCAGACAAATTTTGTTGTAAAGTCTAGGCCTGAGGCCTTGTAATAACATCTCATTTTTTAGGCCCTAGCTTAGGCATTGGTCTCTTGCTTCCCGGTTCAGTCTAGCTAGTATTCGCTCACACCGAAGTGTGTCACTTTCCCCGCATCGCAACGTTTTCTCAGCGGCCAACGCACGCATGAACGTATAGAGAAAATCTTAGTAACGTAGGCCTGGGGCTATTTTCAATGTAATCTCATCAGTATCTAAGTGTAGAATGGAACCAGAAATGCATCGACCTACTGGAATAAATTTAAAATACCATATTTCTTTGAACATATTATGATAGATTGCATTCAAATTACCATAGTTTCGAGCATAAAAGCTGACCAGATTCTAATTTGGAGCACATTTTAACAAGGTAGAATATAAAGGTGTTTTGTTCATGATGTAAAAATAGTAATGATAATATAATGACTACGACAACAGTAAAAATAGTAGTGTACCTCACGTCTGTCTTCGCTATGCCTTAGCTTCCACCAGTTGAACTTCTTCAGCATCTCAAAGCGTTGTTTCTGTTTTTGCATAGCATTCGTTAGGTTTGTTATGACGCCATCTTTACGTTCTGTTGATTGTTGGTAAGTGTGTAATAGTTCCTGTAGTCTGGCTATCTCATCCTGTAGCTGGTTTACCTCCTGTGAATGTCTAAAGTCATGTTCACATTTGGATTAATTTTGACAAAGTTGAAGGCTAACTTTACTCTAAATTGTACCACTGTTCGTACATGGACTTAGAGTAAATACACAGGCTTTACTGACACAGTGGCTAAATACTATTTTGGGCATGAAAATTGCTGTACGAATGGATGAACATAATGGACATTCAGATGCAGATAAGTCAAAATTTGAATAATTTGGGTACAGAAAAAGGCCATAAATTCTTTTTATTACACAAAATACCATTGCTCACCTTTTCGGGCAATACAACCAGGTTATGCAATCTTGAGAATAATTCAGTTAAACTTTGGCTGACTGAATTTTTGGGCCAAACTAAGTGCCAGGTATATGGTTAGTTTGACCACAAATTTGAAGTGTAGTTATGACAAAAATGATAGTAACATAATTCTATGTATAATAAAACTGATCATGTTGTGTTATTTGTGTATTTAAAAAAAAAAAAATTATAGAAAAGGTAAATATTTCAATCTCAACTGCTCACCTGTTTTTCTCAGCCTGAATAGCTTGTCGATGTTTGTGCAGGAGCTTCAATTTAGCCTGACTAAGCTCAGCCTGTAAACAGCAAAAAATTAAGGTTTTTTTCCCAGTTAGTTTTTATTTACAAACCGATAGTAGGTCTGAAGTAGCCTAAGCAAATAATGGTCAATGGTTGTGCACTTGTATTGTAATAAATCACTATAACTATTTTAAAATATTAAATGATAACTTCAACGTAGCTGTACATACCAGTACTTGCCGCTTAAGTCCTAGGCTCCAGCCATCTAGTTCTGCTTCCATCCTTGCAAGATCAGCATCCACAGAAGGTGTTCTAAGTGTACTAGCAGGACTGTTAGAATCTGTAGATCCAGGAGTAGAAACACTGCCTTCTTCAGTTGATAGATCCTGGTTACCATTTGGAACTGCCCATTGTGGTACTTGTGGAGAGGAATACCAATTGTCAGCTGTAAGTAGTATAGGAATTTAGGACCAGAGAACTAATTAATGAAATGGAATGATAATTCAATTCAATGGAATAGTATTAGAAATTAATGATCATTTTAACAATTTTCATCCTGACAAGACTCAAATTGATGGTTTTTATTGACATTTCATATTATTACTCACTGCCACTATGGTTATTAATTGGGCATTATTCTTTCTTTGTTATTATCCCTCTTAATACTGTACTATTTCTTGATGCATAATTTCCTGTTTGCTGTTTACTGTTAGCAAGTGTTTAACATCTTTTTAAATGATGTTACGCTGTATATATATTTTAATATAGTATATATTTTTTATATTATTTCTTGTCTTATTTGCTGATTGTAATATTCTGTAAAATGTTTTATAGCCTTTTGAAAGATATATAATTCCTGCATTAAATGCAATCCTGTGCACCTAACCTACAACTTATGATGATGTTGGTTCTGTGTTGATCTAATGAAATTAAATGTCCAGAACCCATTGATATGAACAAGATTGATTTTATTGTAAAGCAGTATTTAAACAAACCAGTTTGTTTTAGTTCCTTATATCCGAATGTTGAAGGACGTCCATGAGGTGTGGTTCTCCAATTCTGTTCAGGATAAGCAGACAGGCTAGGCTCCTTGCTGGAATGGTCACTTTCCACAACAGTAGATGTGGAGCTATTTTCTGAACTACCTGGAATTATTAAAATTGTTCATGTCATACATTGGATTCTAATTAGAATAATTATAGACATAAACACTCTTAGAACTGTCAGTTCAATAGGACTTTTCATAACATGTATCATCATGCATTAACCAACTACATTAACATTTTTTTAGAGAATAAAATAAATATTTTTAATAAATTATGTAAAATTTAACAATAATATTAATATAGATTATAAATTATAACTAGCATTGTAAAAAAACATTATAGTAATAAATAGACACAAATTATAAATTGGTCATTTTCATTATTGACTTGCTCCCATGTAATTGAAATTAAAATAGGTTTCATCAGATACCTTTCACCATGTATGGGAACAGCATTCACTTTATTCAGCATGATTTGTGTTTTGTACTTGTCATATATTTTAATAAAAATGGAATGTGATTTATCACTCACTTTCTGAATTCTCTTCAACATAAAGAGCAGCATCATCTGTTTTCTGAAATGCATTCATAGCCTCGGCAATGGTCTTTGGAAGTTTGTCTGGATCAAAATGTGGGGTAACAACAGCATACTTTAAAAGTTCTTGGTATTCATCCATTATGCCATCTGAAACTGAGCTTCCGGGAGATTCTGAAGGCAGAATCGGTGCGCCACTATCTTCCTCAGTTGAAGACATGATCCTTTCTCCAGCTAGATAGGTGCAATGGTAAGTGTTAAAATAAAAGGAAATTTTAAGTAATGAACTAATAAAAGTAACAAAGGTTTAAACTTTGTTTAGCAGGTATTACTCCCTGGTAATATACACTGATTCATTTACAATGATTTTCTTCTGCAAATGCCATAGCTGGGGGGTTTTCCGGTGGGAATTCTTGTGTGTCGTTTGCTGAAAACGTAAATAATAGGCTTGGAATATTTACATACATAATAATACATAATAATATATCTTAAAGATTAGGTCAAAGCCTAAATTTCGCAAAATCTGCGAAGATATTGGCCCATATTTTCCCAAATGCGTGGACGGATATGTAGGCCAAATTTTTGAGCAGAGGATATATTATATATTCCCCATTTACTATACTATACTATAGACCTGGCTATGGCCCCAAACCAAGCTTGCACACATTATCTAGTGTTAGGCCTTGGCCTAGATAGATCTGGGTAGCTAGCAGTGCTGTGCAACGCAAACTTCCACTTCAATCTGGAGACGACCTAGGACTAGGTCGGAGGTAGCCTAGGCTTACTATAGATTAAGTAGGCCTGTCACGCCAAAATTGGTCCGGGCCAAAAAATGCCCCGGCCAAAATTTTGGCGGCCAAAATCGGTCCGCCGGACACTAAACTCGGTCCTCCGGGTTGATTTTAGCCGCTAAAACTGGTCCCGCTTGCATAAAACTGGTCCGCATCGGCCTGCCACTTCATTTGTAACTCGTCTGCTGCTCGTGGGTATGATTTTTTCTCCCGTGGAGTGGAGGAGAGTAATTTATGCTTCTCCTACACTTGCAAAGTCTTCAGTGACAGAATGATTTGTTAAGCTTTTGAGGAAGTGTTTTATCAAACCCAACCCACCAGATAATGCATTTCCTAGGCCTAAGCGATACACACAGCGTGGTATACACCATGGTATACACCATGGTTAGGCCTACGTTTGGGCCTAAAATGAAACACAAGACTGATTTATTAGTTTTAAATATTCCGGATTATTGTGTGGGGTATTAGATCATACAATAGATGTTCTAATAGGGGTCAGCATTCTTGGAATTAAATGCATGTAGGGACTTCGTGGCGGCGTTCACAACCAAAACAAAACAGGGTAAAAAAAAAATAAACTACAGCGGACCAACATGATTTAAGACCACATCGTTTAACTTCTTTTCGTACTTTTACACCAAAGGGTTTACTGGGCGCGAAGCTTTACTAGTAATTTTCACCAGTGATTTCACCTATGATTTCACATATAATAACGAATGAAAACATATTAGTTAGGCTATATAATGAGAGATAAGATATTTATCTATCATTTGATTACAAAAAAATATGAACAAACATATGAACTAATAAATAGACGCCGGACCGATTTTGGCTTATGTGGACTATATTTGGCAGGTAATTTTAAAGCCTAAATCGGTCCGGCGGACCGATTTTGGCCCCGGACCAAATTTTGCCTGACAGGGTTACCACCAAGAAGGGAGGGCTAGCCTCCCTAGGTAGGCCTCCTCTCTAGGCAAGGCTTAGGTCTAGGTCTCTAGCTTCCCTAGCTAGGTGCCTACTACTACTACTACAACTACTACTACTACTACTAGGCCTAGCCTAGTACTAACTAAGCCTAGGGGCCTAGGCTAGGCCTAATCTACCTAGCCTAGCGCCTAGTACCGGCCTAGCCTACTCTAGCCTAGACCAGCCAGGCCTAACTAGCTAGGAGGAAGGCCTAGCCTAGCCTAGGCTAGGCCTACTGCTGTAATCCAGGATAGCTAGGGCCTAAAACCAGATTAATCTTACCAGCCAGTATTATAATAGCATTTAAATTGAAAACTTTAAGTTGAAAAATTTTTTTATACACCAACAACCATACATTTATAAAGTAAACAATGCAAGTCACTCACTCACTGATTCCAAACAGATTGTTTTCAAATTCGCCACCACTGCACCACTGTAGACGATTTTGAGATCTAAAAATTCCAGACGTTATCAACGTAACAATACTTAGTCTCTATGTCCATGCGCTTCTATTATTACAGTACTTAGCAGTTACTGTAGGCCTACATTCTATTAATTTATTATTATGGTAATTTTATCGCAAATGTAATGGATGTAAAGCCATAAATACGTATATAATTTCCAAATAACTGTACTTGCGTTGCTGCAACGCGGTGTTAACGTTATATTCTGACAAAACCACAAAATTCACAAAGTTTCGCAATGTTTTGTTGCTGGGCTTGGGCAACATTTTTATCTTTTTCTTCCTTCATTCGTTCATTCATAACTTTATTTATTCTCGAAACTGCAAAATTTACAGGATGATATAAATATATTATTTTTAACATAAAATAGCTTAAAAAATAAAATAGCTTAAAAAAGAAATATCATAAAAAATTGTAATTTAAAAAGGAAAGATGTGGTAATTTTAAAGCCTAAATCGGTCCGGCGGACCGATTTTGGCCCCGGACCAAATTTTGCCTGACAGGGTTACCACCAAGCCAAGGGAAGGCTGCCTCCCTCTAGGCTTAGCTAGGTCTAGGTCTCTAGCTTCCCTAGCTAGGTGCCTACTACTACTACTACTACTAGGCCTAGCCTAGTACTAACTAAGCCTAGGGGCCTAGGCTAGGCCTAATCTACCTAGCCTAGCGCCTAGTACCGGCCTAGCCTATTCTAGCCCTAGGCCTAGACCAGCCAGGCTTAGCCTAGCCTAGCCTAGGCTAGGCCTACTGCTGTAATCCAGGATAGCTAGGGCCTAAAACCAGATTAATCTTACCAGCTAGTATTATAATAGCATTTAAACTGAAAACTTTAAGTTGAAAGAATTTTTTATATACCAACAACCATACATTTATAAAGTAAACAATGCAAGTCACTCACTCACTGATTCCAAACAGATTGTTTTCAAATTCGCCACCACTGCACCACTGTAGACGATTTTGAGATCTAAAAATTCCAGACGTTATCAACGTACCAATACTTAGTCTCTATGTCCATGCGCTTCTATTATTACAGTACTTAGCAGTTACTGTAGGCCTACATTCTATTAATTTATTATTATGGTAATTTTATCGCAAATGTAATGGATGTAAAGCCATAAATACGTATATAATTTCCAAATAACTGTACTTGCGTTGCTGCAACGCGGTGTTAACGTTATATTCTGACAAAACCACAAAATTCACAAAGTTTCGCAATGTTTTGTTGCTGGGCTTGGGCAACATTTTTATCTTTTTCTTCCTTCATTCGTTCATTCATAACTTTATTTATTCTCGAAACTGCAAAATTTACAGGATGATATAAATATATTATTTTTAACATAAAATAGCTTTAAAAATAAAATAGCTTAAAAAAGAAATATCATAAAAAAATTGTAATTTAAAAAGGAATTTTTAGAGTTAAAACTGTAAAAAAAAAAAAAAAAAAAAAAAAAAAAATTCGTAGTTGTAAAAACGATTTTATTGTTTTCCCATGATTATGAGGTCATTTGATTTGATTTGTAGATCGTTAGCAAATCGTGCTAGTGTGAAAACTTCTCTTATTTCTTTTATTTTCTATATGAACACAGGGGCAGATTTAGAGGGGGGGGGGGCCACTTTTGGACATCTCTGTATCCGCCCCTGAAACAATTGCTTTTTAATGTTTTGACTTTGATCGTTATCATCAGTGTAAACAGGCCTTTACCCCTTTTAAGAATGATCATTGACGCCTAACAATTTTTTTTCCTCTGATCGCATTTTTGGCCACTGACTTACATGGCCACGTGCCACCAAATCGTAACCAGCCTTTACCATGCCCTCACGATGTCACCGGGGACGCTGCCCTTCGCTGCCAAAAAACTATTTTTGGCAGCGAAGAGACGCTACCAATAAACAATCAATAAACTACCGGGTTTATGTGTTGATTTGCAAGGTACTACATGGCTCAACTATGTTTTACATAGGGGTTACTTAGTAAAAATCGCACACAAATCATACGACGTTACTGACAACGCCGGGGACGGCAACTCGATTTTGAGAATAATTTATCCGAATAAACTATTATCTTCAGTTGTCTTTGTTGGTCATTCAACCAGGGAGATGTAAAAGACTCAACTGTCATTTTATCTATTTTTCGGTGATATTACCATTCTCAATAATCTATAAAACACCCACATAACAACGTCACGTTAGATCGATCGGTGGGGACACGTAACAATACTTAGTCTCTATGTCCATGCGCTTCTATTATTACAGTACTTAGCACTTACTGTAGGCCTACATTCTATTTATTATTATGGTAATTTTATCGCAAATGAATGGATGTAAAGCCATAAATACGTATATAATTTCCAAATAACTGTACTTGCGTTGCTGTAACGCGGTGTTAACGTTATATTCTGACAAAACCACAAAATTCACAAAGTTTCGCAATGTTTTGTTGCTGGGCTTGGGCAACATTTTTATCTTTTTCTTCCTTCATTCGTTCATTCATAACTTTATTTATTCTCGAAACTGCAAAATTTACAGGATGATATAAATATATTATTTTTAACATAAAATAGCTTAAAAAATAAAATAGCTTAAAAAAGAAATATCATAAAAAATTGTAATTTAAAAAGGAATTTTTAGAGTTAAAACTGTTAAAAAAATTTTAAAAAATTCGTAGTTATAAAAACGATTTTATTGTTTTCCCATGATTATGAGGTCATTTGATTTGATTTGTGAAATTAATTTGTTATCGTAGACACGATAAATCGTTAGCAAATCGTGCTAGTGTGAAAACTTCTCTTATTTCTTTTATTTTCTATATGAACACAGGGGCAGATATAGAGGTGGGGGGGGGGGGCACCCACTTTTGGACATCTCTGTATCCGCCTCTGAAACAATTGCTTTTTAATGTTTTGACGTTGATCGTTATCATCAGTGTAAACAGGCTTTACCCCTTTTAAGAATGATCATTGCCGCCTAACAATTTTTTTTCCTCTGATCGCATTTTTCGCCACTGACTTACATGGCCACGTGCCACCAAAATCGTAACCAGCCTTTACCATGCCCTCACGATGTCACCGGGGACGCAGCTGCCAAAAAAAAATTTTTGGCAGCGAAGGGACGCTACCAATAAACAATCAATAAACTACCGGGTTTATGTGTTTATTTGCAAGGTACTACATGGCTCAACTATGTTTTACATAGGGGTTACTTAGTAAAAATCGCACACAAATCATACGACGTTACTGACAACGCCGGGGACGGCAACTCGATTTTGAGAATAATTTATCCGAATAAACTATTATCTTCAGTTGTCTTTGTTGGTCATTCAACCAGGGAGATGTAAAAGACTCAACTGTCATTTTATCTATTTTTCGGTGATATTACCATTCTCAATAATCTATAAAACACCCACATAACAACGTCACGTTAGATCGATCGGTGGGGACACCGTGGTGACGCCGGTATGGGCAATTTTCGTCGGAAGGTATCGAGATGATAAACAGTTTCATTGGACTAAATTCTTGCTTATGTTAACCACATGCTTACCTAAGATTATACTGACACTGGTTTCAAATCACGGTCAAGTACCGGTAGTTAAAAATCACCTTATTTTGCGAATTAGCGCCCCTCAACTGATCATCGAGCCCCCACCCCCACCCCGCTTCACCTTCGGCCCCCCTATTATCCTCCCATTTCAAGAGATCTAGATACGCCACTCAGCTGACTTACATAGCCAGATGAATGAGAATACTCAATCTAGGTGCCACCAAATCGTAACCAGCCTTACCATGCCCTCACGATGTCACCGGGGACGCAACTGCCAAAAAAATATTTTTGGCGGCGAAGGGGACGCTCCAATAAACAATCAATAAACTACCGGGTTTATTGGTTGATTTGCAAGGTACTACATGGCTCAACTATGTTTTACATAGGGGTTAATTAGTAAAAATCGCGCATAAATCATACGACGTCACTGACAACACCGGGGACGGCAACTCGATTTTGAGATTGATTTTCCGAATAAAGTTATACTAAATAACTTCTAATGACGAACTATTGTCTTCAGTTCTCTTAGTTGGTCATTCAACTGTCATTTTACCTATTTTTCGGTGATATTACCATTCTCAATAATCTATAAAACACCCACATATCAACGTCACGTTAGATCGATCGGTGGGGACGCCGGTAGGGTCAATTTTCGTCGGAAGGTATCGAGATGATAAACACTTTCATTGGACTAAATTCTTGCTTATGTTATGAGAGCAGCATAGTTCAGTCGGCTAATCTGGTGGTAGCCACTGTGTGTGCGCTTAACCATGGAGATCTCTAGTCCCCGGTTCAATTCCCTTTGCTGCTTCTCCGTGTGTTTCAGCTGTTTCTTTTTTTTATTATATTTTTTTTCTCTGCAATTTTAGGCGATTGTGTAACTGCAATCATTTATGTACAGTATACATTTTTATAACAATAACTATAATGATTTGTCTACGCCCTCGGCTTAGACTCCCTAGGCCTAGTAGCCTAGTAGTAGGCCTATTTTATTTAGCCATTTTGCCAATTACCATACAGTTTGTCATTCTGGAAGTGTTGCCGTTTTGGTTTATTGCCGTTATGGTCCATTGTCGTTTGGTCTAAAAGTGTTGCAGTTTTGGTTTTTTGCCGTTTTGACTTGTTCCCTTTGTTTTTTCTTCTGATCGCATTTTGGCATTCAATTCCTCTATCAAACTCCATTCAAAAGTTATATTCTTGTTTCTCAAAGTCCTAATCATTTTTATTCGATCAATTTTTTTATTTTTAAAATTTCTCTTCCCAAATAATTTTGGCATACGGAAATAAAACGAAATACATAATCATAGATTAATATAGTATCAAAAGACAAAAGGACTTGTGCTGTAGATGTAACTAGATGAACTACAGTTGAGACTGAGTTGTAAATGTTACGTGTGTCAGCAGTGTTTTTTGACTCAGCGGCGATTTAATGCTTATTTTTGGTTTATATTTTAAATGAAGTTCTTAATATAATTTCAGTTTTCATTCCAAAATTTAACCACCTCTTCCTTAGGTCAATATGTACCCATTAAATTGTATGATGATATGAAAAAAAATCAAAAAATATACCTTCATATATCAGATTTTAAAAATTAAATAACCGACATTAAATGACACATTCTTTCTCCCAAGTATTTATTGCAACTCTTTCGTACAAAAACAAATCAAAAACATCAAGGATGTTAATGGAATAACAGGAATCACACGAGCATTTCAATTGGAAAAAAGGAATATTAAATTCTATCAGCTGGTAAAAAACAAACTTGGAAAATTTGCAAACTAAAGAAGCAGCAAGCATGAATACACAAGATGCAGCTAATTCATAAATGCAATTAAATATAATTAATATACATACATTCAACATTTAAAGCTAGGTGGACTGTCTTTTCTCTTTCTAGTAAGAAAGGTAGCTAGTTATATTTCAGCAAAAAAATCATTAAGCTTAAAGTGTAAAAAAATGCAAAAACATCTGAAATTTTATTCATAGTCTCATATTTCAATACCACTTTAAACACAGAAAAGGAAAATTTAATCCAAATTTTGGATAATACCACAGTTACTATACAGTATCTCTGATTATACAGTACTAACAGTTTTAACATTCACAAATATTTGAAGTGGAGCTGTAGCTTAATGGTGACGGTGTTCACCCTACAATCCCAAGCCCTATCTTCACCCTACAATCCCAAGCCCTATCTTCACCCTACAATCCCAAGCCCTATCTTCACCCTACAATCCCAAGCCCTATCCAGTCACAAACCAGAATTTTTCTCGCAGACAAAAAATACTGTACAACAGCTTCACTTCTTAAGTTTTGTCCACACTATCAAATTTTATGCGACAAATAAATGTGATATGCCCATATTTGGGTGTAATACGACATCATCATGTCCATATATGGGCAATTCACACAAAATTGATAGTGTGCACAACAAGTGCTTAGGCCTCTGGTGGGAATTAGTTTATAAAACAATTACTACTTTCACAGTAAGCTTCATCCTCTGATATTGATGAACCATTTCTAGGAACTTTAGCTAATACGCACTGCAATTAATGACATGTATTTTTCACCATGAGCATTGCAAATGTAAAAACACAAACATAAGTTTGTGTGGTCGGGTGATGCTGGGATGAGTAATTATGATAGTTAATTATGATTTAACAGCTTGATTTTGTTGCATCTGAGCTAACTGAGCTTGGTACTTTATGTTCATAACTTCCATCACAGCTGAAATTTAAAAAGAAAAAAATCTTATTTTACTTGGTAATAAAAATATTTAACTACGCACATATTCTTTTATAATAATATTCTGCAGATCTCATATTAAGTATTATTTCATTGTCATTTTAAACACTTACAATCAAATGGTATTTAAGTGTTGGCTGTGAATAAAAACATAATCACTATGGTAAAAACTTTCCCCATCTGACACCCTAACTGCATTTTTAAGTCCACCTTTTTGCGGCCACAAGGTGCCAATTATGTATGTTATTTTATGGTAAAAGCTAATCCTGCTTGACACATCTTGGTATTTCTTGGAGATTTCTGGCCGGGAATGTAAAACGCATTGCTGTATGATGTATGTACGGTAATTAGCATGAGTTTCATTACTGTAAACACTTTTTAATAGCTTCAGCCATGTCAGGACTATCAAATTCTATTTGACAAAAACATGCTATATGCCTAAATATGGTCATGATGACATCACATCATGACCATATATAGGCACATCATGACTATATTTGGACATACAACAGTTTGGTCAAAGAAAATTTGAAAGTCTGGACAAGAATTAGGCATAAAAAACAAATATTGATTTAAATAAGTCATCAGCAGTTTTTTGTTACTGAATCGTTTGTTACCTTGTTTTAATTTGAACTTTTCTGCCATTGCAGGTTGCGCTTTATCCATTTGTTTAGTCATAAAGTCAATTTTACGTTTAAAATATTCCTTTGATTTTTCCACAGACTGCAAAAAAAAAAAATATATATATTAAAAAGAATGGTATAAAATATACACTATAAAATATATAATTACAGTAAGCTAGTTCAGAAATTCTAGCCAAGGAATTACACTTATCTCATAACAAGACCTCTATTGAGACCGTGGTTTCTATGTAATCAATGTTTCAATTATACAAAGGATGGAAATACAGTACACTAAATGTAAGCTTTTGGTAAAACTTTTGAAGACACAAATAGGAATTCAGTTTTGTGCATTTAAGAAACAATTAATTTTTTTTTATAGTTAATGAAAAGGGGGCCTACCTTCTCCACGTAATAACCAGTGCCAATATCAATCAAAACAGTTTTAACATCACTTAACTGCCCTGGAACATATAGCTAAAATTTTCATATGAAGGAAAAACTCACAAATACTGTATTGTACAGAGTCTAAGACCAAATAAAAAAAACAAACCACAATCCTGTTTGGATTACTTGAAAAAGAGGGTGATGGCCCTTTTCTTTTGTTATATATGGTCATAGATTACATCTGCTATTTTAGGCCAATGTCAATGGGTGTCTGGATTTCTACAGGATTTCTTATGGTGAGTGTTAAAAAGAGAGAAAGCCCAAAAATATGATTTTTCCCCTTTTTTCTGTAAATTTCAGCATAATAATAGTGAATAATCAGGGGCAGATCTGGGTTGAAATTCAGGGGGGTGGGGGTAAGAATTATGACGACCCTACTTACCATGGTCAGCTCACTAAATAAATACAAGATATACGTAAGAGGATTTCACCCAGGGGCGGATCCATGATTTGAAGTGGGGTTCAAAATGTTACAAAAAAAAACCACAAAAAGAAAGGGAAATTTTTATCCTAAATGGTGGGAAATGAGCCTCTGACTGAGGTGTCTTTTAATAACTTTTAAGTTCTTCATAATTCAAGGTTTTCCCCCTCTTGAAAATGATCAAGTAAATTTTCTTATTTGTATTACAGTAAATAGGCCTATTATGTGTGTATACATACTGAAAAAAAAAATTGACAGACAGACATGAAGAACGCACTTTCGTACAAAAATTATGTTTAGGACTGTGAACAAAAAACAGTGTTGTTAATTTATGCCTGTGTAGGTCAGCATGCCTTTTGTGCAGCCCTTAAATTCAGGCATGTTTATCATTGAATTTTCCTATTGTAGCAAAAAAAAAAATCAACTCACAGGTCCTGAAAAGGTAGGCCTAGAATTGTTTTTTGCTTGGCAGCTCAAAGGGGGGGGGGAACCCCCTGACTCTCCAATCACATCCGTCAATTAATAACATTACACAAAAAAAGAAAAAAAATAGAGAAAAAGTTTTTTTAATCAGAATAAATTTTAAAACACTTTGAATATTAATAACTCAGAAAAGGATACCGATGAAGTCAGTGGAACAAGTATGTCTTTTCCTAAAAGAAAAAGAAAAACACTTTACATTCATGTAAACACAGGTGGGCAAAGTTTGGCCCGCATGTGGCTCAACAGTGATTTGTGCAGCCTGTGAAAATAAATTAAAAACCCTATGTATGCGTCCCACTTTGGCTAGAAAACACCTTCATTTTTTACGGCCTGATACCAATTATCTGTAAAATGTAATATTAAAACTGAGCATAGAGCGGTATGTTTGTGTGCGGTTCTCAGTATGAAATAAAAAAAAATCCCTTTGGCCCTCCGACCCATTTTTTAGTTCAAAAGCCAAAGTACAGATACAGTACCTTCATTTTCTGGTTTGAATTTGTTAAGACTTTCAAGAGAATCTACAAACTTTCCCTGTGCTAATTTCAACTGTTGTAGAGAATTTTGCAAAACATCAACTTCCTGAAGAAACAACATATCAAAGAAAAATGAGTTAAAGAAAATATAATTTCATCAAATTAAATATAATATTAGTAGACATAGCTTGATTTCATAATAGAAAATGTTAGGAATTTAACAGACAAAGCATTACCCACCCATGAATACTAAGGCAACCTGTTGATATCATTGTGATCTTTGCTTTGTACAAAAAGAACAATCTCCTGGCGTTTATTTTGGCTGCAGAGCAGTTCGACTGCAACATACTGTATTTAACGTCTAGAATATCAGAAAATTTAGTGTTTTATTGGTCTTATTATTAAAAGTTAATAGACTATACTTACTTTACAAATAAGTAGGTTTATGATACCAGCTACTATTGTGAATTTTAAGTTTGTTAAATTTGGAATTGCACTCGTTTCTTGTATGTTATGCCTGGCCTAGGCTTCCCGAGGTGAATTGATATAAATAAAACACGTTTTTTTGCATTTCCCACAGTCTTCTTATTACTGTACTTTTAATTAAGTCAATAAGTATATTTATTATATTTATATAAGTTTGTTTTAAATTTATGATTTTAAATTTATTAATAATATTATTATTATTATTATTTTGTTTGTTTTTATCAAAAATCAGTGCACTGTTAGTGATTTGCTTACAGATAAATCAAAATAAATGTTAATTTCAGTGCAAATGTTTGATGTGCAAATTGTTATTTGCACATCTCACATTTGCTTATGCAGCAGGATAGCATTTGTTTACATAGTTATAAATGGCAAGATAAAGAAAAAAGAAAATCTTATCTTGACCAGAAAAAAATTAAGGAAAAAGATTAAGTATTTACAATGACAGATTTGAAAGACTGGAGTGATGTAGTAGTGGTAATAGAGTGATCAAGTTTATTCCAATCTAAAATGGTTTGTGGAATAAAAGAATGGCAGCATATTTTTGTGTTAGCTCTGACTGTTTCGATATTGTGGGCACTTGATGATCTAGTGGGACTGCTGTTAAATTCAATAGTGACATTGGGAAATGAAACCAGTCCATTGATAATTCTAAACAATAAGATTAACCGGCATCTTTACGACGATCTTTTAAAGACCTCCAACCAAGTGATTCAATTGCACACTAAACAGGCAGCACACTGCTGCACTGACTCAAGTTTTATGACATCTTTCTGTAGATATGGGTCCCAGACACTAGCACTGAATTCTAATTTATAACGGACCAAGAAGAAAAAAGCAAGTTCTTTGTATTTTTTAAGGCAGAACTTCAAGTAGCCAATAGTTTGGTTTGCTTTTTAAATTATATCATCGATGTGGGAGGACCACTTCAGATCCCCTTTAATGGTAACGCCCAGGTATTTTGTGTGAGGGGTCTGTGCAAGAATGGTATTATTAATAGTATAGAAAAAGAAAGGTTTGGGCTTAGAACTTCGGTGAATTGAAAGTACAAAGCACTTTGACTCATTGAATTTCATCTCCCATTCTTCTGTCCACTTGACGAGAGAGTCAAGGTCTCTCTGTAGAAGATGTTTATCGTGAATATTTTTATTTTTCCATACACCACACAATTGTCTGCAAATAAGGGCACTTAGAAAAAATTATTAGATATCACTCTTTTTTTTTTTAAATTGATGAGGGAGGGTGGTTTTTTTTTTAATCGCAACAATAGATTATTTCGCTTTTGTTTTTATCGATGAGGGAGGGACTGTTTATATTTGGTCTGTAATAGTAAATATTGTTTTAATTTTATAGTTTTTTAAAGAAAATGTATTTGAAGTCACAAAATTGCATGTTATTTTTATGCTGTTGAAAGGATACCCTGTTGAAATAATTGATGCATCAAAAAAACATTTAAAAAAAAATTCCTGCATCAATATTTCCAGAATTTTTGACGCGGACGGGAGTGATAATCTAATAAATTTTTCTATTTGCCCTAAACAAAGGCTGGAGTTTACGACTGATGGAAGGACTTGTTCTACAAACAACAAGTAGGCCCTAGAAGTAGTACAATACAGCTAGGCCTAGCCTACTAGCTAGAGTCAGACCCCTCTCTCTACCCTAGCTAGGCCTGATGATACTGTTGCTTCAGTGATCAACTCCCTAAAATATTATACTATTTGCAACCAACGGAAAAGGGCTTAAATAAACGCTATCACGACCTACTGGCTAGATAGACACCTCGCCCACTGCGGGAATGATGATGATCATTGTCCCCCGGCCCCAGTGTCACACCACCGCACCGAACCGAAAGAGCTCGTCGGCTTAAGATTTTAAAATCAAAACAATTAACAAAAATTATACAAATTTAATATGAACTACGGAAACAAAGTTAAAATATATAAGCGTTTGTACGTCTTACCTGTTCTAATGTTTCTTTCAATTGATTTAAATGAGGTAAAGGGAGTTGCATCAGATCAATTTGCTGCTTCTTTTCTGCCATCTTGAACTATGCCCTCTTTTACGGCGGGCTGGGTGCCAAAATTCCCCTTTCTGAAGAGGGCGTGCGTTAAAAAATAAGCAAAAATAATAATATATTTGGTACTTTTAATCACCATTTGATAATTTAAGATATTGTCACGTGAAACATATAAGTAATGCAATATAGAAAAAGAAAGACATAATAATTATTGTTGTTAGCCTACCGGTATTTTAGTAAAAACATATCATTTGTAAAAAATATAGGCCTATATAAAGTTGATAAATTTATTTATTTTTTATCATGGGGGCATAGCGTATGGATTATGATTTATTAAATTTTGCAACCAAAAAGGCAATAATTTATCTTTCTGCTAGTCATAGGTTACATAATCATAAATTAATACAATTTTCTCCGAACACTTTGTAAATATAAATTATTATTTTTTATAGCATTCATGTTATACTTACATAGTTCCGGTCATGAATATTAATGAACACCATGAATGCTTTCATCTTTATCGTTGCTTTTGTCTCAGACCTTACATAAAATATCATGCCGTATAGTATGCTAGTTATTGTATAGCACAGATCGACCCATGTGTCCGATGATGAACTTACTGTATAGACTTCCAGGAAGAGCATATTATAAGTATTCAATTAATATATTTGAAAATCATATATCTGCCAACACACATTAGGATGTTTTAGTTGTGTGTTTAACAGGGGCCGATCCAGAATCAGAAAAAGGTGGGGAGGTGGGGATGGACCTCCAACAATGTACACTAGGGGTTCCGGAAATTAAGTGTTTTCTAGACGGCCGTAAATAACCTCTGAGGCGTTTTCGATCAATATATTTCTTTTTCTTTCTTTCTTTTTTTTTTTTGGCTTTTATTTCAATATTCAAAAACTATATTCAGTTGAGTACAATTTACTTTACAGTTTTTGTTTAAGTCATATATGTGTGTATACAATTAACAAAACAAAACTAAAACGACCACTAATTCTACCTTGCGATCTCTTAAAATATTTAAATCTTCGGAAGGGTTAATCTTAGAATTAAGACTTAATCGTTTCCAATTAAAGACAATCCGGATGGTTTCCGACACCCCGTTTATACTGTTACTAAAAGGAACTGCATAAAACCGAATGATAAAAAAGCTGGCCTGTTTTCACCATCCTCATCAAAACAATAATATTGTTACAATATGGATGAAGCATTAACCGTGTCAGATTCTGAGTAGACTGAGACTGTATTAATTTATACAGACTTTCATTCTCCAATCAGAATTAGATATTCATATTTTGAATGGTTTAACAAATAAAGAAAACCCCCAAAAATCAACTTGGGCCATTAATTCACCAACTTAGGCGGGAATCCACTCCGACCTTCGCCAACTCAGCCCTTTACTAACTCAGCACATAGCTAACTTGGTCTTTGACAAACTCAGTCTATACGCAAAATCAGCCCTCGCAAACTTGGCCCTTAGCCAACTTATCCCACATCAACCTATTGTTATATTATTCCATAACATTTATTTTATACTGCTGTTCAATCATGATGTCATCTACCGTATCTCCCAATGTTATTTTTATATCCCAAACCATGTACTTATTTTTCATTAGTGCACGTTTTCATTTACCTTTTTCCAGTTCGTGTGCAAAGGTCAAAACAACTTGTAGGTATCAACATATCGCGCACCACAATGATTTCTACGTATTAGTGTTCTTACACCTGGCACTATGACGCGTGCCAATGGAAAGAGAGGGCAGACATTCGCTCAATCGTCGTGTGATGACAAGTGGTAAATTGAAAAAATGACAATCATATACATGAGAACCCTAAGAAAGTCACATTCAAACTCAATATTATGTAAAAAAAAATTAAGGAATATGATTATATAGTTAAACTTGCCAAAGTCGACTTTGCATAACTCGAATAATTTCTAAGTCACTCATATTTTACATGCCAAATTTTTGTGCTTTCTATAATACTTAAGTAATTATCTGTAAGTCAAATTTTATCTGAGTCGAACACTTTTTCAATGCCATTGTGGATTCAACTTAGGCAACTTCAACTGTATATAGATACAGTTGGGTGAAAAGATTTTGTACACCTAGTAGTACAGTAGAACCTTGTTTTGACGTACCTCAGTGTTACGTACACCTTTTATGGACGATGGTGTCATCAATATTAGTACAGTATTTAAAACACCTAATATATGTTTTTATCGTCAAATAAAGTTTTACCACACAATTTCAATTAGTGTTTTTTTATGAGTCGTCAAATTACAGTGTACAACTACAAGTAAATAATCTGCTGCTGCAAACGATTGTCTTTGTTCAACAGCAACGTTTATTTGTGTCTATAAACCTGTTATCTAAAACCACGGGGACTGAGCGAGATGAACAACTGCCATTGTTTTGGTGTACGGTACAAAATAATTTCTTTCCTGCTTAGCTTCGTGTACGTACGCCCTCTGGTCCTGTACCTTGCGTAAAAACAGGTTCTACTGTGGTGTTTTTAATGTGCATGGTCAGTCGATTTTGTTCATGCACTGCAAAGCATGTCACAACATTTTGCTTGATCTGATTGTCTGAACCATTTGAACAGCTCTGTTGTGCCCATCACAAATTGCTTTCATGAATTTTTACTGATTGGATTTTTTAGACTAATAAATGGAAAACTACCCAAATAATCTGTTTTATTATTTTCAGTTTCTTATAATCCCATTCATATTTCTCTTGTAGTCAGTGAAAAAATTTCCTGTCTTTGTGTTACTTTGTACAACATTTTCTATATGTGGCAAAGACGAGCCAAACCAGTCACTCCTGGCAAAAATCAATTTTTAGTTACTAATACAGGGTTAATTAGTAATGGTAAGAGATGGTAAAAGAATAATTGAAATCCGACATTTCCTTATAAAGTTACAAGCCTATTAACATACAGCTGTTTAAAGAACAATATTTGAAATCATCCTTCAAAGCCTATGATTTCGGGCGTTTCTGAGGATGAGACCATGGTAAAAAAGATATTATTTTACCATTTAAAATAAGGAAAATAACAACATATATGGTGTAAGAATTAGTTTAGTGCAATACAATAGATTGCATGTTTTGGCCATTATCTCTGAAACACGATTTGCGACGAGTGACTGGTTTGGCTTTGTCTTTGCCGCATATCACTTCTTCTCTGCCTGCCAGGCTTGTGGCACACTGATGCATGAAACAAAGCTGGGGTTTCTACTGCACCGATTAACAATACTAGCCATTGCATGAATAATGTTTTTTTCAATTAATTAAGTTTCAAAAACCTTCTTGAGGTAGTTGCAACCTTGATTGAAAACCTAACTCGGATAATTATAATAACATATTTGTATTTGTAGTTTTATGTGTTTTTATTTCATTTGATTTTTTTGCTTTTGGATAGTGTTGTTTTAATCCATGTTTCATTTCTGCATCTTTCCATTTTTTTTTATTGCAGACTAACCTACACGCACTTAATCTTGATTGTGTGGATTTTAAATCAGTTCAGAGCTGTATACACATATTTCATATGCAGATATGCAATAACATCCAATTTTATAACACCTCAGCCAGAGAAACACAAGAGAAACGCAATATTCAACCACAATGAAACGTACTGTGAGAAATATATTGATCTTGTCAGTTGTTACTGTCATCAACATTCTCATCTACACATATGCAAGTGGATCTCACATGTTTCTTTTCTCAACGAAGCCTTCAAGGAATTCATATAAGTTGCAGGAATTAAATATAAGAAAGAATTTGGGTGGCGGTAGTACAGCAGTTGAGAAATGGAATCATACAGCAAAAGATGCAGTTAATTTGGGACAGGAACACTCAATTAAAAGTAAAATTGTTGATCCTGGTCCTATATATAATCTTATTCCTGAAAGTGGTAAGCAAGTAGAGAACAATGAAATTAAAGATCAATTGGGAATCGGAGAAAAGATTAATAATGCAAATGATATGACAAATGTTGGTCATCAAAAAGTTGGAAAGGCTGAAATTCCTGCAGTAGAAACAAAACCTGTTAATCATATTCATGTTGGACAGGGTATTGGTAAACCAGATATTTCTGTTGGTAAACCAGATATTCCTGTTGGTAAACCAGATATTCCTGTTGGTAAACCAGATAATCCTGTTGGTAAACCAGATAATACTGTTATTAAACCAGATATTCCTGTTGATAAACCTGATACTCCTGCTCAAAATAGCGGTGTTTTCCAGGTTGATGCAGAGTTACTAGCACTTTCACAAGGACATCACATTTTCCCGCATAATTTCAATTTAGTTATGAATCATCCAGAAGCATGTCATAATTCAGATGGATCTCATAAAGACATTTTTCTTGTTGTCTTCATTTCCACCATTCATAAAAACTTTGATCAGCGGAAAGCAATCCGAGAAACGTGGGGTAGTCTGAAGGAAGTCGGTGGAAAGAAAATAACCACAGTCTTCCTTCTAGCCAAGACATCGGACAAAAGCTTACAGAAAATGGTTGAAGAGGAAGATAAACAATATAAGGACCTAATTATGGAGGACTTCCAGGATACGTATAAGAACTTAACTCTGAAAACCATAATGGGTATGAAGTGGGTGTCGATGTATTGCCCACATGCTAAATACGTTATGAAGACAGATGATGATATGTATGTTTCATATCCTAACATAGTAAATTATCTTTCTTCGCATCCTGATACCCAAAAAGGACTTGCAATGGGTTTTCTTATAAATGGATCGCCAATACGTGACCCTAAAAGTAAATGGTACATGCCTAGAGAGACCTACCCAGGAAATAGATATCCTCCTTTCCTCTCAGGTACCGGGTATGTGATGTCTTTAGACGTTGCTCGCAGAACGTATGTTGCATCTGTTGACACACCATTTCTATACCTGGAGGATGTGTTTTGCGCCACTGTATGGGATAAGATCGGTGTCAAACCAAAACGTCATGCTGAGTTTCATAATTGGAGGACAGCGTACTCATTTTGTCGTTTTAAACGAATAATGACAACACATATGGTTCAACCCGGTGAAATGCGACGTATATGGAATGACCAAAAGACACGCAAAATCAAGTGCTCATGGTAGTTTTCTTCATCTTTAAAAGTATTCTGATGATATTGTGGAGTAGTATTGATAACTGTACTGTATATAATTTACTTTTTGTATCATTTTATAAGACATTCATACACAGGGCTGCTTTTAAGGCTACTAAAATGTGTATCCGACATTGCATTCCTTTCTTGAATGAAATTGTGAATAAATTGATGAAAAAATGTAATGGAAAAGGAAATATATGCATGATGTTAAAGTGAAATCTACTCACAACAAACAGCAGAATCAGTTCATAGAGTCTGTATCTCTAAACTCGAAGGGCAAGGGAATGGGAAGCATGTTTTGACCGTCAAAAGTGGCACTTTCATCCCAAAAGATTCTGTCATAAGGTGTGGCATGTCACTTTATTTTCTTTCTCCAGTGGCGGACAAAGAATTATTTTGCCAGGGTGAAGTGAGTCTCAGTGGCAATCAAGGTCTGGAGGGAGAAAACAGGGGGAGGGATGGATGGAGCCATTTGTTTGAGGGCGGTTTTGGGGTGTTCATTTACCTTTAGCAATTTTAATCTCTTAGTCTTATCAAAATGATTTCACACTTTGGCTGGTGATTATTTTGGCCGCTGCCACAAGGGCGAGCATACATTTTGCCACCTCCTGGATCCACTACTTTTCTCCTGTTCAAATGAGGGATCTGCCAAGTGGTATCAGTATCTGAAATTAATAGGAGATCTGTTCATTAATTATTTTGTTTGGACATAACTTAATTGCTTGTCATTTGATTTATCAGTAATTTTCATTCCAAAAATGTGTTGTAATATTCTTTGGTAAAACAACTTAAGATTACGGGGCCAATCGATGAAGATACATAGTTTTTCCTCAGAATGGTATTCAAAAATTGTTTTTATCTGATGAAGTTTGGCACAGCAAAATCAACTAGTTGATGGTGTCGTTCATACATATCAACAATCCTAACAACGGCGTATGCACAAGCTAGATAATGCATATGATTGCCTCAGGCATGATAAATTCAAAATCTAAGTAACTTTAGAATACACCAACTGTTGTAATTGAAATTTTACATATAAATAATTATATATGGTCCTGCAAAATTTCAGAAGGGTATAAATTTCAAGTTATGTTGTTTTTTTTTGGTACGGCCGTCTTGTATTCTATAGTGTATATATGACTTTTTGTAGTAATATGTCATTAGTAAATCACAAAAAAACCTGACAAACTTTGAGTTTGATCTGCGCCTTAATTATTGGAAGTTGATAATTAAGATTAATATTTGACCATTTTAAATGAACAATTAAATAATTTAATTTAATTTCCAAAGGTTTTAGCTCCGATGAGGAGCTCTAGAAACACACAGTTGATTGATTAGTAGATCTTTTTTAGTTCTACTGCCTCTATTATTCTGCCCTCATGAGGAGCTCTAGAAACACTTGGCTGATTGACTAATAAATACTATAGTTAATTGATTAATAGATCTTTTTTAGATCTACTGGCTGTAGTATTCTTACCGCATCGGAGCTTTCGAGATTACAAGAACTTGTTTATATATTACCACCTGACAGTATATTTTGACTGCCAACAATTTTTGTCAATTGATTTAATTTCGAAAAATGTTTTTCATATGTTAAAACCTGATTACAGTATATTTTTACTATCAACATTTTTTGTCATCTCATCAAAACTCAAAACTTCTTTTTTGTCAATTTATCTTATCCATAGTTTTGTGTAGTGGTGTATGGCTTTAAAGTCTTTAAATTAAATATGTATCCATTGGTGACTCTAGGATAGAAGGTGAAGGGGACAAAGCTGTCTAACAACAGATGTAGAAATTCCATTATCTATAGGGCTCCTGTCACGTCAGGTTTTAAGGGTTAAGCTTTGAAAATGTCAAGACACGAAGCACAGAAAGACTGGGAAGATTTTTAATCTGTACTTAAGACCTGTCCAGACTATCAAATCTTATTTGACAAAAACATGTGACATGCCTGAATATGGTTATGATGACATCACATCATGACCATATATAGACACATCACGACTATATATGGGCATACAACAGTGTTTTGTCAAAGACAATTTCATAATCTGGACAGAACTGTAAATTTCTCTAATTGTAGTATTTTATTTCGGTCCAGATGATAAATCATGGTTGATGGGGGTTTTGCTTGTCAGATGGAAGCCCTCATCAGCCCTGCTCTGGTACCACTGTCATTTGTATTATTTAAATGTTAGTTGAAAATATATCAAATAAATGTAAGATAATATAAAAAAGAATAGAGGTTGTTCATATTTTTCATTTCTGCTATAAGGTGCATGGATGCAGATATATGCTATAGTATCATGTGCTCTAAAACCATGGCATATTTCACATACCGTAAAACCTTGAATAGAAGCCAATGGGCTTTAATCTCGAGAAGCCCATCTTGAATTGAAGCCCCATGGGCTTACTGTACTCTCGAGAAAAAGCCCATCGAATTGAAGCTCCCTCTATAGTTAGCAAATGTAGCCCCGAAAAGAAGCCCATCTCCAAAAGCAGCCCATGGGCTTCTTTTGACGATTGCATGGCTTTCTTTAGGAGATAGTACAGTACATACGCTGTACATGAATATAAAATAAATTAAAAACGTGCTTGGTTTATGCCTGTAGTTTTGCTGATTTAATACCAGTTAGGCGAGACTTATTTTATTCCTTGTTTCGCATACTTTTTTTTTTTTTATTATCAGAGAAGGGTAGAATAAAAATAAAATAAAATTTTGTTTTCTTATTTAGCAAATAATTTTTCCAAAATCATCCAGACAGAGGAGAAAATAGAAGTAAAAAAATGTTATTGGTGAATGTAAAATAGGATGGTTAAATGCTTCAAATTTCTATAATTAGGAAGAAATGTACATCTCTTGTCTTTGGAGATTTCTAGGCAGTGAAGGGCGTAAATAAAAATAAAGAAAAACTTTTATTTTTTTCTGAAATTTCCACTTTTTCTTGGCGGCGGGTGTGCTAACTGGCCAAAAATAAAATTTTAATTTCATTCGAAATCATCAATATTTACAGTCAGTAGGTTCGCTAAACAAGGTATAAATAAAGTCTCGCCTTAATACCCTCTATGATACAGATTGACATTGGCCCTATTTATTGTTTTATAGGGTGTGTTTCTACTGATAAACACAAAATAATCAATTTTTAACCACTTTTTTAATTAGTGCCCAGACAGCCTGCCCGTGTTGCAACTGCATTTTTGCTTTTACGAAAATTACAGTCACTTTTTTTTTATACTGTACAACACGTTTTCCATACTGAATACAGTAGTTTCTTTCTCACTAACATGACAATATATCACATGAATTCTGGTCATGTTGACGAGGAGGATATGGTGTGCGGCGAGAAAGCGAACAGTTTCGGCTGTGCGCATCGGCACAACGAATGAGCGAACGAACGAGGACAATCAATTTTTTCTTTCCAGTAGAAACAGACCCTTGGTAATAATTCATAGACTTAACAGCATTCATTTTGAATGGAAGGGAGAGTATTTGCGGGCAGACTTGCCCCACTTGAATTCATGACGATCATTGGTCTTGTATCCATTTGATTTACTTCTTTTCTGATCTAATTTATTAATTCTTAATTATAATCAATATTGCCGATACACTTCCTTATTTGGTGTTAGGCCAAAAAAAAAAAAATTCTTGTGTTGGCCACGTTTTTTGGAAAATCCAAAAAATTGGTAGGTCAATAGGAAAAGTTGGTTTTTTTTGGGGGGGTTTTTTTTTTACCAATAATGTGTTTATGCCTAAAAAGTAGAAAATACACAAAATTCAACAGACCATTTTAAAATTTATATTGAAGAACAAAACAATCACATAACACTGTCGCTTTGCCTACCGTCCAGCAAGATAGGGCTATTCCAGCCTTTTTAGCTCATTAAAAAACAGTTTTCGTTGTAGTAAAAAAAACAAACTAAAATGCCGAACCTCGATTTCGTACATTTTGGGTCGGTTGGACGTGGCCAGTACAATCATTTCTTTTTTTTTTTGGCCTTGTTGTTCATAATTTAAGCTAACTTAATAATTAGTAATATATGATATTTTTTAATAATAGTATTAGTAAATCAAAGGCCCTATGCATGTTTTATGTAAAGTCTAATCAGGGAGGAGTTTGTCTACCCCATAAAATAACTATTTAAATGGTGTGAATTTCAAGGAAAGGCAGACAAAATATAGGTCTACTGAACAGTAGCTAATGATATGGTGTTACAGATTTGTGTAAAGTATCTAGCATTGTTAATAAATATAATAGATGTACAATGCCAATTTTGTAGCAGCCCATGAAAATATTTTTAAAAGCATTTGTGCAGCCTGCCTAACATATTTGGCTAGAAAGCTCCTTCTTAATACAGCCAAACGTCACTTATTTGTAAAAATTAAAACTGAACTTAAAGAGGAATAAAAAAAAAACGGTGTGTGTACAATTTTCTAAGCACACAGGAAACATTTAATTTTCACACTAAAACATACAAGTTTGTGTGTTAAATAAAAAATTCTCTTTGGCCGTCCGACTCATTATTACGCGCACTTCTGCTATAAAGTCTTGATGGTAGATTCATTGTTGTTTGTCCAGAACTAGTAACACTGTAACGTAAATGCTCGAATAAGCGCCGCTGTGGAATAAGCACCGCACCAAACCTGATTTTTTTTAGCTAAGCATCGCTCTAGAATAATAAGCACCGCGGCGTTTAATCAAGAGTTTATATTACCCTGTGTGTAATGAAACACTTCACGAAACAGGTTTTAAATACAATGTGTTAAAATGAATGAATAATACAATGAAGACACAAATATTTCTCTATAAACGTTTACAGTATTTACGATGACGTAGGACCTTTGATTGATAGGCCTACTGCACTACGGGAATACGTGAGATGTAACATGGAACGGGCATTTTTTATAAGCGCTGCTCTCAAATAAACACCGCTCTCAAATAAGATGTGTTTTATAAAGAGATAAATAAATGTGTTTTTTATCAATAAATAAAGTGAAGAAAAAGCGCTGCACTGAAGCTTCCAACAATTTTATAAGCGCTGCAGTGCTTATTCAAGCATTTACTGTATGTTTATATAATTTTAATTGGGCAATGTGTGCAATAGTATCAATTTTAATTTAAATCTTTTTGTAAATAAATAGTAAGTGAAGGTTAGAAATCTGTAGATTAGAATTAAATTAGATGAAAGTAAAATAAAAAAGCAAATTTAGAATGTTAAAAATTTACATTTATTGATACAATGAGGCACTATTTAATTTAATGGTTAATCATTGATACAAGTAGATAGTAATTCACACTAATAAAATATTCATTATACAGTAAAATGCTTAGTGAACTATGACACTGACACAGTAAATATTTAAATCTGCCTAGTGAAGTGTGATGTGCACTATCACTAATATTAGCTAATGGCTTGATTTCACTAGCTGGCCTCTGGATGAATGGTTAACATGAATAAACTTTAGTGACACAATGCATTCTGTAAGTAGGCCTTTCTAAGGAAAATCTCCGACAACTGTACAGTTGTCAGTAGGTGTGTTAGAGTCTTTATTCTGTAGTATTTAAGTGGTATTCATGTCAGTAGGTGTGTTAGAGTCTTTATTCTGTAGTATTTAAGTGGTATTCATTAGGTAGGTTTAATTATTATTATGGAAATGTTATATAAATTGTGGTGTTTACAGTGTGTTGCAGCTGTAAAGGGTTGAACACAATTTTATACAAGGATTACTATATTTTGTCTACATCTCTATCTATAAATGATACATCAAAATAATAACGTTGTACTTTAATAGACAAGTATTTAAATTCCATGAAGGAAACTAACAGAAGTAATACGGCAAAATTAGGTTTTAAAAAAAGATGAATTGAAAACTTTAACACTTCCAATTATGGGTGATGCCTTGATTGATTAATACTATTATTACTATCATTTATTAGGCCTTCAGGCAAAATGGTTTATAAATACAGAAAAAGATTAAAAGTCAGTATGAATCCTTGGTTGATTAATAGTTTTGCTGTATTGTTACAGTGGTGCATGGGAACGTGGATATGCACACCCCCAAAAAGCTTGCTCCCCAATGCACTACCCCTCAGGAAGTTTGCTGAGCTAGTTTTACTGTACATATAACATCACCTTATTTTTTCAGCTACCACTCCCACACTCAGTATTTGGGACCCCCCTCCCTTGCATAACCTTTACACCTCCTATCAGTTCACTGGCTATACTATTGAATACTGTAGTTTATAACATGTACCAAAATACATGATTTGTTAACCAATAGAATTCATACAATTATGGATTCCTACATAATAGACCATATTATGGTCACAGTAGCAGAACACTTTGCATACCTGCCAACATTTAAAAGAAGAAAAGAGGTAGGAAGTTATTGAGAAAATGGCGCGTAGCACCATCCGAGTGCGAAGCCCGAGGTGGGGTTGGGTTTGGGAGGGGGGGTGTCCCCCCTCCCAACAATGGGGATCCAGGGGGCGCAGCTATAACAGTTCAGTAAATTTAAGGGTTTAGATAATCGATTTTAGAGGTACAAAAAATGGAAAGGATGGAAATGTTCAGTTGGTCAAACAAATACATTAAAAAAATTCAACACACTAAAAAGTTTCAAAGTCTGTCCTGCAACTCACACAAAAAACATGAAACTGACCTTTCCTCGGTGACTTAATACAACTGTGGTCTGCAGTCCATTGGTATTTAAATTTGTTATTCCACCTGGATTTTATTTTACTCATTGTGAAAAACTATAAAAATAGGATCAGATGATAGATCGTGGCCTCGTGTGATCCCACACTACTCCTAGGCGACTCAACACCACGCACGCCTCGAGTTACCATAGGTTACTGCACCAGGCGCCAAAAAATAATATAGCTTGCGGTGTCTAGTGTACTAGAAAACACCAGTTGACATCTGGTGGTGCTGTTTGTTTACCTAAATATCTGTCTCTTATACACATCTCGATGTGTATAAGAGACAGGGCCTAGAGAGATAGGTGGGACGCGGTAACGTCTTGCTCAGAAAATCGGTAGCCTACCGCCTAAATCGGTAGGGTTGGCAGGTATGCACTTTGTAGTGAATGAATACATGTTTTTCATTTCCAACCGTCCTTCACTGTGCTCTAATGTGTCTATCATAGCATTGTGGTGATAAGACAGACATGAGAATATTGGAATTCTTTGTTTGCACCGTCTGTAGGTTGAAAAGAAAATATGCAAATTAAATGAAGCAGGATTTTGTTAGTATTATAGGAAGATCCAATTTTTAAAGAGGGGTTGCCGGTAGTAACTTGTGCTGTGATAATTTTTTAGTAAAAAAACATGATGTACAGTTATTCTCGTCCCTTTAATTTATTTGTTTCCCCTATTTCCATGCCAGCTAGCTTTTATAGCCTTAACTAGGATAGGAGGCGCCCGAATCCGAGATGGCCGAGACTCAACAGGTGCTAACTGTAGTTCAATTAGATTGAACCCTAGCCAGCGATGAGGGCGTATCCCCATACTTCGGTTTGGGTGCTGGCATGGTATTCAAATTTCACTTCTTTTTATTTTGTGGTTTTGGTTTCCGTTCCATCTTTACACTTGCCTGATAGCGCTTAGAGACTTTTTGTATTTTGCGCTCTATAAATTAAAAACCATTAACCATTAACCATTATTCTGCCTGAAGAAATTCACCTTCCTGTATTTCCCTCTAATGTATTATAGTAATGAAGTGCATACAGACAATACGGTAGCAAATGCATGCAATGAATATAGTTAAAACCATTATATTTTATAGTTATACTTGTTTATTTTTTACTACCATTCTACTGGTATTGATTTGTTATACAAAGAATATACGAATATATGTGAGAGAGATATGGATTGATAATTCCTATCTTCAATTATGCTGTGCACTGAGTATTACGTGTACTTGTGAAAATAAGTACCATCTGGAATTTTACTATAAAGGATTACATGTATAAAATTCATTATATTATAGTTTGTTTCATTTTATGTATGTGTGTACAGTATGTAATAGGATTTATAGTATAATTTCTATTTTAAACTGGAATACCTATTCTGTAGCAAGCTACTAAAATTCATTGCTATAAAGGAAGGAGTATATAATGAATAAATGTTTAAGAGTGCATCCAGTTTAACAGTATGTTACAGTACGATAAAAGTCATTTATAGTGGATGTCAAATGTCATCATTTGACTACAAGGGACCCAGGTGGAATTTGAGGTTGTTGGAGATATTATAGTGGTGCTAATGTCCAATCAGGTGTTGCAAGACTAATCTAAGTAATTTGCCGAAAAATGTGCATGGATTCTAATAGATTAAGTAAGAATGATGAATTAAATTTTTGAATTTCAGGTGGCGTAAAAAACATACACGGTCAGAATAACTGAGGAAGGGTGAGAATGTAAAAGGTGTAGAATGTATGTAACCCTAGGAGCTTTCGAAAAACATCTTGGCTAAAGCTAGAAATCCATTTGTTAGGTTGTGATTGCAGCTTCGTTTGCGGTGCAGGGCATTTTAATCAATATAACTTTTTTATACAAGACTGATTCCATTAGTGCGGTTCGGTTGCATTGCGTCTCCATAACTGCATGCGATTATTTAAATCACTCCATGGAACGATTCATCCGTTTTGATCTCAGCCCACCATGCGGTGTGGAGAATCCATGCGAAAAGGCCTTTAAAAATGCATGTGTATGTGTTTACTTAAAACACACTGTAAACGGAAACGCAAACAAAGCTGGAACCGCAACCGAACCAATGGATTCTCAGCTTTAGGGAAGTGTCTGCTAATTAACAAACGTTTTAATAACCCCGATCATATATTCTTTCCTTTATTATTATAGAGTATTCTAAAATTTCTGTTGTTGAATTTTCAGAACTTTTATAGTGAATATTATAGTGAATTATTGATATTTTTGTAGTATCACTGCCCATTATAAGTACATATATGTATATCAGCTCATTTTTAATTTGTTTGAAACCATGAATTTTAGCTTAAGTACCTATATTCTGTCATAATTGTACATTTATCATTATCATTATTATCACATATTTTCTATTATTTTCTGTACCCAGTATACAATATTATTTACTGATATCTACTAGCCACTCATCATAGCTTTAATCAAGTTCATACCTCAAGTTACCCTTACAAGAGGACGTTTTGTAAAAATCCAATAAATTTATAGGTCGGTAGGAAAGGTTTTTTTTTCTTTACCAATTATGTGTTTATGCCTAAAAAGTAGAAAATACACAAAAATACAACACCATTTTAAAATCTATATTGAAGAGCAAAACGATCACATAAACTGTCGCATTGCCTACCGTCCAGCAAGATAGGCCTATTCCAGCCTTTTAAGCTCATTAAAAAAAAATTTTTTTTTTTGTTATAGTCAAAAAAAAAATTTAAAAAATAACACCGGACCTCAATTTCATACATTTTGCCTCGGTCAGGCATGGCCAACACAATAATTTTTTTAAATTTGGCCTTACTACAATGTTTACATTGGCAAAACTTTTGCAAAATTTTATTTTTAATTTTTTTCCACCCTCCTGATTATCTTTAAAAAAATAAGTTTGCAAAACAAGGTTTAAAAAAATTATCATCTTACTGTATTTCTATTTCTGCAAGTCATAGATGGGTTGATAGTACTCTTCTATAACAAAAAATATTCCATACTCATATTAACATCCTGTTTTAATGATTTTCCAGGAGTGAAGCCTCCACAGAAACGAAAACATATATGGCGCCCTCTATTCAGTAACGTACATGTGATGTTTATGTCAGATGTTTTTAGAAATTTAACCACCCATGTAATTTGTAATCCCATTATTCATTAATGATGGATCATTTAAGGTGTGTGGTAAAAGAGAAACGATGCTAACGATGATTAGATTTTGAGTGAAAAGTGATCAACTTGCATATTTTTTTTTACTATGCAACCTGTTTTTACCTACATTTTTAAGTTCCAAAGATGAGCTCAAAGAATGCTGTTAATGATGTGTAATTATGGTACGCATTTCTATTAGCCTGTAATGATATAACTACTACAAGAGAAAAAATTATGTTAAGGATGATTGCATTATAACTGAGAAAAATATGTTTTTTAAGAATAGATATATATTCTTAGCATGTTTAATGGCGTACAGCGCAATTGGGTTAAAGACTAGATCAAGCGTCATTATATCATCGATTGTTACCCTAAGAATAAAAATTGTCAACAACCTGAATATAGATAAAAATGTGACCGATTAAAGCTGTTAAGACTTTTGTCTTCTAAATATTCATTGAAACGGTAGAACTTTAATCTTCCAAATCTTACCTACCTTCCTAACCTATAATCACAATTATAAGAAAAATTGATACTGTTTGGAATCACTCGAGTACGTACTATTAATGTTGCGATATGTTTTTCGTGATTTTCCGTGTAATTCGCCTTTTTGCAATAAGAATGTAAACCCACTCTACCACAAAATCGTAAGTACGTTAGAACCCCTCCTTTGGGACACTCATTTTCAAGGGACACTATTAAGGGGACACTTTTGCGTGGAACGAGGGGAAATATATCTAGTAACAATACGGGCAACCCCTATTAAGGGGACACCCCTATTTAGGGCTTTTAAACACTGCTATTGGTGCGTTATTGTTTTATTTGGTGCTATGTAGCATGACACTAATACACTCATGCACGTGCTGCACACGAGTAACACCATTATTGCCAGTTGTTGATGTCCATTGCCTCTTTTTTCCCTTCCCCTAACCCTATTGAGGATTTTGACCTACAATGATAGGTTTGATTGTTGTTAGTGCCATAAAGAACTGTGTGGTGGCAATAGCGGATTCAAAGAGTACCGAGATGCCTCCCCCCCCCCTTCAAGAAAAAAAATAAAAAATAAAAATATATATATATATATATATATATATATATATGGTTTATCTTGTCCCCTCACTCTCCCCCCTCCCCCTCTCCTCCAGATTTCAAACGCTGGCCCTGCCACTTGAATAACTTTATTGAACTTTTAATATACAAACACCGGATGACAATATTGGTATCTTTCCTTTCAGGTGTTTTACAAAAGCATACTTATCGTAGCATAATGAGAAGAAAGCGTATATTTTTCTGTGTTGTGTGCTTCAGTTTTACAGTTAGTCTTGGCCTGCTTCGTTTAATATTCGGACCATTGTTATTTTTAAGCCAAGTAGCACCACCAAGGGTAAATGGGAATGTTTATGAAGTATCTAGGCCTTTGTCTACAAATACAAATCAAACAAATTCCAAGCTTCGGTTACCGCACGACTTCAAACTAGTGATAAACAATCCAGAGACATGTCGATACAATAATGGCACCGAAAAAGATGTGTATTTGCTGGTGCTTGTTCTTACAATGCACAAGAACAAAAATCAACGTCAAGTGATACGTAACACGTGGTCAAGCCCGAAAGAAATCGAAGGCAAAAAGATCGTCACTATGTTCTTACTCGGAAATATATCTGATCAAACATTAGTCAATTTGGTGAGGAAGGAAAATGAAATACACAGTGATATTTTAATGGAAGACTTTAAAGATACATATGCAAATTTGACTTTGAAAACCATTATGGGTATGAAATGGGCAACAATGTTTTGTCCACAGGCAAAATATGTGATGAAGACAGACGATGATATGTTTGTTCATTATGGAAACATCATCAAGTACCTAAATTCACTTTCTCGTGAAATGCAGACAAAGTTAGCTGTCGGCAAGTTGATGAAGAGTGGACCAATCAGAAACAAGAAAAGTAAATGGTACATGCCAAAAGAATGGTATCCTAAGAACAAGTATCCGCCATTTTTATCCGGGACTGGATATATAGTGTCAGCTGATGTTGCTCGAGATACATACATACAATCCCAGAATGCAACATTCCTCTACTTGGAGGATGTTTTCTGTGCAACTGTGTGGGAGCAATTAGGGATTGTGCCCAGGAACATGATAGAATTCCACAATACTAGGATACCATATTCTATATGCCGGTATAAAAAAATTATTACATCACATCAACTATCCTTAACACAACTCAGCATGATTTGGAAAGATTTAAAAGTTAATAAAGCTAAATGCTAATTGTTGTTTTTAGTGATATTTTAATGTCATAAGGATTTATTATTAATTTTATTGTCAATCTATAATATGGCCAAAACAAAAATAAGTGTCTTGCCGTGGTACAGTGACAGTTGGAGATAAGGGTCGTTGAGACTTTTTTGAATACAAGTACATATATTGAATTAAGCTGGAAAATCTTATATATTTATTATATATATTTTTGCAAAAAATCCGACCAAGCGTACTAACTTGGCAAAGCGGTCTTTTAAATGGATCAAACACTAATTGAATTTAAAAATAGTACATTAAGCGACAATTAAAATTTGCTGTATGTCGATTATCTAAACAAAATATTGATTCTTATTTAAAACAATTTGACACTGCTACTAAAATCGCAAGTGATTCAGGTGGGAATCAAACCCACTACCTCCAGATAGCTAGCCTGGTGCCATAACCACTAGACTACCGAGCTTGCACTTAGTGATTGGTGTTGAATCCGATCCCCGAGTAAGCAGCGGGTACTGCAAATGCCATTTGCATCAGGAAAGTATCATAGGAGTGATGCTTGCCTAATACCTTGCATATTATCGTACCGAATACCCAGGACGTCCCCAAATACTTGAGAAAAAAAAATCGCCAGTGATTCCGGTGGAAGAGGAACCCACGACCTCCAGATAACTAGCCTGGCGCCATAACCATTAAACTAGACGCAAGTATTTGGGAACATATACGGAACGATGACATGTCAGGTAGGACAAAACATCACTCCTAACCTCGAAAATATCAGTAAGCTCATTCCATTACTTGATTTGATAAATTTTTCCTATCATACTGTATCTACAGTACCAACCAGGTGTATGTCTTGAACTATGGTAAGCTTGGTTTCCATACAATTGCTACACTGTTGCTACAGTGTTTTCAGTGCAATCGTTGTTCCATGGAGGAAAGCTGTTTTTTCCTCCATGGTTGTACTGTGTAGCGACAGTCCCCGACGCAATTGGAAAGGTTGTCTCGACCAACCAATCAGTATCACCGAAAGCTGTCAGCCATAGCGTGTAGCGATTGCATGGAAACCAAGCTTTAAACATTTAATTTTTTTTTTGCATTCACTACAGTACTGTGGCCAGTATTTTCAAAATCTCTAATTATTCTACGTGCATCTTTTGAAATTGATATGCTATTTTGTAGCTCAGCTTGTTTACTTTTGTTTATTGTTTATGTTTTATTGTATGTTAAGTAATGTATATATGTTTTGTGAGTGTTTTCTATTACATTATTATTCAATGTTAATGCTAGTAGGCCTATATGTAATGACACAAGCCAAATGACGGTTTTCTGTTATATTTTTTGAACCCTCTTTTGTCTTCTCACTCTGCTATCTTTAGAGATTTGTGTATAATAGGCCTAACATAAAAGTAAATAAAATGACTAGATTGAAATTTATTTACAAACAATTGCTGCCACGGATCCAGCACAGCGAGGGATTTGTAATTTTGAAAAAAAGGTTGAGGGTCGAATAGCAAAAATTATGAAAATACTTTATGTGATACTTTATGGAAATTATAGAAAACGGGTTTTATTTAATTTTTGAAATTCTATGTAAATAACTTAATCAGCTATTTTGAATGTAATTTTTAAAAAACTATTGATGCAATCTTTAATGTATTCATTCATCCTGTTATGTTATTGGTGTTTGCGTTGTTAAAAGAGATGAAACACAAATAAATAAATAAATTTTGTTTAAGTAAGGCCTAATTTGTGATTGACCAGATAACCTACACTCTCAATGTGTGTTATGCAATTACAGTATAGGAAAGATTAACACACAGGTTTATAGTGGAATGATGATGATGATGATAACAGTAATAATGATGATGACGGTGGTGGTGGTGATGATGATGATGATGACGATGATGATGATGGCGATGATGATGATGATGGTGATGATGATGATGATAATTGGATGATGATGATGATGATAGTAATAATGATGACGTCCATGTTGATGATGATAATACTGTAGTAATAATGATGATGACGTCCATGATGATGATGATGAGGATAATAGTAATAATGATGATGATGATGGTGATGATGACGTCCATGATGATGATGATTGGATGATGATGGTGATGATGATAGTAATAATGTTGGTGATGATGATAATAGTAATAATGATGATGACATCCATGATTATGATGATGATGCTTGGATGATGATGATAATAGGGATAATGATGATGACGGAGAAGATGATGTTGGCGATGATGATAAAGTGATAATGATGATTGGCTGTGGTGATAATGTTGATGATGATTGGATGATGGATTATGATTATGAAGGAGATATCTATAAAATATAGTGCACTCGGAATGGATTGATGAGATAAAATAAACAAGTGATATAAAAAACCTCAAGAGCCGGGGAAACCTGGAAAACCATCCAGTAGCCGGGAACCACCAATTGACCTTTCACCTAAGCACCGCCCCTTGGATATTGTTGCTAAGGTGCCACAAGAGAAAACATTATGCAAACACTAATGTGTTGTGGGACAACACGTGTGTATTCCTAGCGCTGTTCTGATTGGTCAGTTGTTAAGTCTGATTGACACTACGTAGAGGTATATTGAGACATGCCCTCCCGGGTATTGCATATTACTCTGTTTACGTGAAAAGTATTTTCAAAAGAAGCCCTCTCAATTGCCAATAGTAAATACCTTACAGTTTCACCAAAAAGTTTTATTTAGCCCTAGTCAAATTACGACACTTTGAGAAAGCAGCGCCGGTGACAAGCCAGTTTTGTTTGCTTTAATAGGCGCTTTAAAAATGTGTATTATTATTATTATTATAGAGTTGCCCATGCAACATTCTAAATCTGCTCCTGCTATTAGTCCTACTGATTAGCATATCCTACACCCCATTCCCCCACTCCAAAAACTTATTATTGTGTGAACTTTAAAAAATCATCATTTAAGATGCATTTTTGTCTGCGTTCTAAAAACGCGCAAAGGCAATCGGTAACTTCTTCCACTTTCTACAGCACCGAGTCCCATGAATTTTAGGCAGCTACACTGGTGCACCCAGGGGTACTAAAAGGGTAACACCCCATCCATCAGCAGCAGATAAAATTTCTTGCTAAACGTGCAAGCCTCTAGCAATACTCGTACTAGAAGGGCTACACCCATATCTTTCCCACCACGGTTGGAACTCAAAATAGCACTTTTAGACTTCAAAAACAATTACGTTTTTCCAAGTGGCTTAATTTGACAGTATTGCTGACGTTCAATTTTAAATACGTCAATGGACGAGTACCAGGAAAGTTTACACTCACCTAAGCCCCACCATGGTTTCTGAAGCGAAAAAAAAAATCAATGGTGTAACAACACTATGCCCAGAAATTGCATTCTCATACTTAAAATATTTATTCTAAATTGTCTTAGTTTGACATTTATGTCGTTCAATCTTCAATTAAATACAATAAGTTGTTGTGCTTTTGAGGGAAAATAGGGAGGGGTGAGTACAATATCATCCTCAGCCCCACCATGGCTGGGCATGAGGCGAAAACAAAATTAAGGATGGAGCAGTCGGACATTCTTAGACTTAAAATATTACATGGTTGAGGCTGGGCTGACACGAACAAAATCAGGGGTGCAGTGGCAACTCTACTGGCCTGATATAGGCCTACTGTTTAATGTTTTGTTTTTTACTGTTTAAGACGGTGTTTGATGGAATTTCTAGGGATGCATGTCATCCACTCCATCACTACCATTCAGCGAATTGATAGGCTGAGACCTCCGACGTCCACACCCATCGTTATTCCTGTTCAATATTCCTGCTGGGATTAATCTTTATAACTTACGTTTTAAACGTTAATATTATACATTTTATATTTGTATGTATATTTTGATATGTGATTGTACATTGTTTTAAAAAGTTTTATGCGAACATTCAGTTTCCTTCTTTGAAGGATGAATAAAGTTTTGCTCTGACTTGACTTTGACTTGTTTTTAATCAAAAGACTTAAAAGTCTTGATTTTTAAGTAGATCAAATAAAAATTACTGTATGGGGGAAAGTGAAAAGAGTGCCAACACTCACCACTGCATGCACAAAAGTTGGGACTGAGAGTATAAAATAAGGATGTAGCAAAGATTCCTGGAAATTGCACTCTCGGACGGTTTACAAAGGGGTCTTACTGTGACAGTATTTTAATACACGGTTCCTTTTTAATTATGAAAAAATTGGTAGAATCTCTTTGAAAATTTAATAAAATTCTTGAATTTAATGAGTGTTTATTTTGAAAGACTGATTATTGTGAAAACAGCAACGTATGCAACCTCTAGGTCCTAGGAGGATGGGAGTGTACTGGTACGATTTCGAGGTTTCCCAGCCACATCTTGAGGATTGGAATATTGTATGCCTATCTAGATACAGCAGATTTTCATGAAATATCTATAGATTAAAACATCCCAGGAATACCGAGAGCAGTTGACATACACAACTCCTAGGAGTAAAAACTCTCCTCCGACAACATTCCTGTTATTCCCTAATATAATCTATGTTTTGGGGCCAGAATAATGATCACTCATAAAAGTTGTCCAAGTTGTATTATTCATAATATAGGGAATATATTCATTTGTTCATTTGTTGTATTCTTTCCATACTCAATTACCACGGGGACAGGGAGGGATTAACAGGGATGGCCCCTTGGCTATTGGGCTGAAACGTGCATCATTGGTTAAAATCTAAAGAAATCAAAATGGTTGAAATTCAGGAATTGAAGTTGTCCAAGTTGTATTATTCATAATATAAGGCCTATATTCATTTTTGAAAAATTGTTATTCGTTGTTCATTTGTTGTAGGCCTATTCTTTCCATACTCAATTACCACGGGGACAGGGAGGGATTAACAGGGATGGCCCCCTTGGCTATTGGGCTGAAAGAAATCAAAATGGTTGAAATTCAGGAACTAGGAAGAGCTGCCCGGAAGGGCCGTTTTGGAAAGGGAAATTCCCCTTCCTTGTTCTGTCGATACTCCGACAGGAACATGATCCGCCCCTGCTGTATAATCATGGCGGTTCATGTTTAATCCAACGCCACTGGTGGGTCTTAAGAGTGAAATCTTGCGAAACATCAGTATTTCTTTTCTTTCATTGCTAAAACAAAATGTTTCATAATGCGACGACTAATTATAATTTAGACCTAGACCTAAATCATCTTGTAATTATTGCTGCGTGTTCTTTGCTAAAAATATGTTGAATTACTAATTTCAAATCTGTTCCGCATTCTAGGTTCAACCCAGGTTCACCATATAAAGGGGACGGTAGGTGTGCGTATGTACAGTATCATATGCTTCGTTGTATCAGGGAGTTGTTATTGTTGTATTTACATAATAAGTAGGCCTATTCCAATACATATTAATTATTTTAACCAGTACTATAACAATACCCAGGCATATCGATAGTGGAGACAGCCTGCTAATTAATATATTCAAAACAAAACTATCGCTCTTAATGAAATATTCTGCGTTGGTCCTAATTCAAATTATTTTGGATTATATACTCATTTCCATAAGTAATCAAGAAGTAGACAAGGTTAAGTAGAGACGAGTTGCTTAAATACCTCAATCTGCTTCTTCTCATCTTACAACTTCTAACTGATTGTGGTTCGATAAATGTTTTTACATGCAAACATGTTGTCGACCTTACTAGCCTAGCTTTGGCACCTGCCGTGAGTTTGATACAAAGCGAGCTAATTTCCTTTCGGGTTGATGACTATAAAAATTACAATTGACTATCTGGGAAGAGGAAATTGGTTTAGTAGCATCACAGTTAGTGAGAAGAATAGCTGCTTATGAGCTGTGAAATGCTATCATCTGCCGAATCATTCGTGTCTGTCCGCGAATTACTTTCTAAAAGATGAGCACATGCCAATGGGAAACGCGCCTCGGAGGTCTTGCTGCAACGCATCAAACTGCGTTCTGTGGCTAGTTGATCAGGGCCTAGCTGAACGATGAACGATAGCAAGAACACTTTAAAAGATTCATTTGTCTCTGTCAATCTTTAAAAAACGTTCTCTGCTTTATTGCGAAAGATAATATGATTACGCTGCCATTTTCACTACATTCAACCAATAGGAACTAACCTTGTGTGCGCACACACCGTAAAGAGAGAAAGTAACCTTGTACGAATCCTTTTTTTTTTTTTTGCATTGGGTATTATTAAATTTCACAAGGATGCTGCACTGCTAAGATACTCATATTTTTTTTGGAACGAATAGACTTTTTGAATTAACATTTATCAAGGGCGTTAGCAAAAAATGTTGTTATTGGATCTCGCTATACTTTGTCATACCACAGTTTTACTGCAATCCCATTAGATATGTTGTTTGTGTGTTAGGCCTATCTTGAAGAATTATTACTCCCCCTCCACCCCACCCCCTCCCCAACCATAACCATTTTAATTGTAAGAAAAATGATAAATGTTATAGCACTCTACAACATGTTTAGGTACTTGGTTGGGTACTTAATTAATAAATGGGAACCAGAAAGTATATGAGGAGGGGATCAAAAGTGATTTTCATCCTCATTCTTGTTCTAATGTGCATTTAGATTAAATCTGATAAGTATCTGGACAAAATAGATTAATTTATTAATTACTGTCTGAGTCACCCAAAATGTTTTTGGATACGAAACACTACCGTACATATCCACAGGATCGGGCACTCGTATAGAAATGTAACTGGTTGTTCATATCACCAG